ACCATACACAGTGTAATGATGTTTATTTGATTTCAGAATGGTTATTACCAATTTACAAACACCAATGGCAGGCTATGTTAGCTGTTGAAATAGGAACTGATAGAGGGTAAGTTTTTAAACACCAATGGCAGGCCATGTTAACAGATCAGTTTTAGCGATAGAGCAGCTTTTGTAATGTTAATACAACTATTGGCCAGATCTAAACTTGCATTCATGTTTGCCGCTGGGAGAGTGCAAGGAGGAGTTATGGTAAAATCACTGTCTATCAACACTAATCTCGCACATGCGTGGTGCGACTTCCACCGCCATTTAACTACCGGGTAATCCTACAATGTCCCTCATTTGTGATTCTTGTCCAGTATTTATTCTACATCATCTATGTTTATGTTGGGAAACATTGTTTTCTATTTTCTTTATTCCATAGGCCAGCTGAGATATCTCTGGATAAACTTGGTGAACATGGTATGAGGTGTGGACGAATTATAAATAAAGAAGGAGATGTGAGTTCAACTGTCATGTACTATAATATATTACTGTGAAGGCATTACTAATTCATTGGGTTTTATTTTCACTGAATTAAATTAAATTAAATTTCTGTGAGCATGTAATTGTAGAAGTCATTGTTTACTTGGCAATCTATGAATTTAAAACCCAGTAAACAAGATCAAAATAGTGAATATCAGAATAGTGAAATGGAATGTCATGGAAAACTAATGGTTTTACAGTATGGTTATCCTATATGTAGACCAGATCAGAGGATCAAGGGTAACACTATCTGGGTATCGCTTTATCAATCCAGATCTGGGAAAGTTAGGAGATTCAGACTAGATGATATAAGTAAACAAATGGTGTGTGAATGACAATCAGTGAACCCCACTACTACCACCAAATGCAGCTTTCAAACACCGACGCAGTACATCAGTGAACCCCACTACTACCGCCAAATGTAGCTTTCAAACACCGATGCAGTACATCAGTGAACCCCACTACTACTGCCAAATGTAGCTTTCAAACACCAATGCAGCACATCAGTGAGCAAATTTGAATATCGCCTGATCTCATTAACATGCTGTATTGGGATTGTAATGCAACATAAACTAGTAGTAATTACTGCAAGGGAGATAGACTCGTATAAATACATGTATAGTGATTCATATGAATGCAGCACGTATGATTAGTAGAATATACATTGTTAGAATGTATCAGCTAATATTAGTAGTAGCAAGAAAATAAGTCGGACCAATCACAACTATTGAAGTACATGTATACTAGGAACTCTAGAGCACACCAAATAAATAAACAAACAGTAATTTTAAAATAACAAAAGGTAGCTCAACCAGTTCTCAAACTTCTTGAATAGATAAAACAAAAACCAACGTTTCTACGATGTTAGCATCGTCTTCATCAGGGTAACAGCTAGAGAAATAAAATAACCAGAAAACCTGTTAAAACTAGTAACTATAACTGATAAAAACTTGAAAGCTGATTGGATAAAGAAAAGGGTGGGGAAAAAAAGAAGGGAGAAAACTAACCTTTTTACCTTGCCCGTACCATCAAAGATGGAAGGGAAAGGTATATTAAGGGAAAAGTTTGTCCGGCGTTGTCGTTGTTGTCGTCGTCGTCGTCGTTAATAATTGTTAATGTGTGCATAATACAAAACCTGTACAAAATACTTGGACAAAAGCCAGTTAAGATTTTCTGTTATCTTGCATGTTTTATGAATCTATTCACGTCTAAATGCAGCACTTTTTTTTTGCAATGAGACATTTGTTTTTATACTAAAA